AATGTTCAGATGGATGTAAAGATGAAGTTTGGTGTATATATATATATATATATATATATATATATATATATATATTATATATTATGGGGAGGGGACAATGTTTCAGGGGCCCAACACAGTAAGAAGCCAAGGGGTTTCGAAAATTGTGCGAAACATAGCACTGTGTCAGCCTGGGAACTGCGAGAGGTCACGCTGCCTCCGTGGGTGGTGCCACGGACACGGGTATCCCTCACGGAGAATGCTTCGGGCCGCCGAGCAGCCAATGTCGTCACCAACCCAGCGATGTGGGCGTGCCTAGTGTCTACAGGGTTAATCTGCCACTGAGCGCACCAGCCGGCCTGGCCGGGGATTCCCACCGGTCAGTGCGCCCCCCCCCCCCCCCCCGCTGACGTCGGGCGGCAGTTGCAGGTGGCACCGCTCGGTCGTCGAAGGCGGATGTCCGCGCCGCCGGGCGCGTAACGTCATCGCTCGGCCGCGAGTCAGTGGCTTCAATGGCCCTGATAGACTGGCAGGCATGCTGGCCAGCTGGTGCGGCCAGCTGCTGCAGCTGGCGCTGCTGGTCGGCCGGCTGCGGCTGGCGCCGGCCGAGACCGCGCGCCGGCAGCCGGTGTGGGCGCGCCGCTGGCGCCTGCCGCCGCCGCCGCCGCCTGGCCGGCTGGAGCAGGGTCGGCCTGGCCGCTGGAGCGGCGGGGCGGCACCACCGCCGCTTGTCGGCCCTCCCAGGCGTGTGGGACGGCGCCGGACGAGCTGAAGCCGCTCTGGCCGGCCGCGGCACCGCCTCCAGCCACTGTGCAGCGCCGGCCGACCCAGCGGCCGAGGCAGAGCGAGCTGCCAGTCCGCCGTCGCCCGGGCCGGCTACGCCTTCGCCCCCGTCCCCGCAGCCGCCACGGTACGGGTCCGGTCCGGCCCGGCTCGGGCCTAGGCGAGCACGGGGGCGGCGTCGGACCGGAGCTGGCTGGCGCTGACCCTGGGTGCGGAGGGGCCGCGGCTCCCCGAGGACCTGGCCTCCGACGGGTTCGCCCTTTGGGACATGATGGACGCCGACCTGGCTGAGGCGGGCGAGAGGTGGAAAGCGGCACTGGCCGGGCCCGGCGGAGGCCGGCTGGTGGGACGCGAGCTGGAGCGACACGGATCCAGGCTGGAGCCAGACACGGCTGGAACGTCCATCCGACCCGCTGCTGGCGGCAGAAGGTGTGCTTGACTCAGGGCTGGCGGCAGGAGGCTGGGCCGACTCGAGGCTGGCAGAGAGGGACTGGACGCACTTATACGCGTCGCCTGGTCGGGTGGTGACTCGTTGTTCGGAGCCGGCTGCGTCTGACACGGCCCTGTCGGACGCGGAGATGTCTGACCAGGTAACTGGCTGTCGGTGTTGACAGTACGCACGGCCGACGCCGGCGTCGCGTTGCTTGGTACTGACCTCACTGCCGGCCCCTACAGTGTTTTCCTCTGAGCTCTGTCGTTTGTTGAAGCTTCCCTGAAAGCATGAACATATCCCGGATACCCACAGGGGAAAGGAGTGTAGGGTCTTCCTCAGGTGGAGGGGATGGAACCCACTCCCCAACAACTTCCGCGCAACCCTTCTAGTTGGACGAGAGACCTCCCAACCGTAGACACGACGCCTATTGCAGAATTCCAGCAATGCAAGCAAGAAAATAAACACGTATGACGCAATAGTAAGGGCAGATCCATGAGGTACAAACAGGGCCGTATTCCCTCCCATAACGATGGAAAGCATGTCAATTTGTACTATTTGTGCTTGGCATTGCTGCGGTTTCCTCAAATTTGGAATTGGCTTCCCGCAGCAGACTTCCCGCAGTCGTTCCTAGATCCGATGCCGGATCTTCCTTTCAGCAAGAGTTTGTTTTTGTCTACATGACAAAATGCATGGGCCGAAATTCTAGGAGAACGCATCATCAATGCTCGAGGAGAAAACATCAGCTCCCTAAATCGGAGAATACAAATAAAGGTGACCCAGTTTGATGAATGCTGAGATGAGCCTCCTGTCTGAATTTGCGAAGCTTCTCTCGTGCAGGACCTTAGCCGAGGGCGTCAGTCGTGGCGCTCGATCTCGTGATGGTCGCGGTATGCGGGCTCGGTTTGACCGCACGCATGGGCATGCAGCCATATTGGCATCCGAAACCGACCTCCTCTCCTGTGTGATTTTGCGCGTCGTGTGATTTCACCGCTTGCTAACCTGTCCAGCCGTCTGTCTGTGCGGTGGCAACCCAGTGGCAAACGCCCGACGCCGACACGCTGGGTTAGGCCCAACTGCTGGCAATGGGTCTTGGCCGTGTTTCGCAACGTTTACCCTTGAACCCATTGTGCGAGGGATGTTGTAGCCTCGAGATCAAGTGCCAGCCCACGAACGAGAAGCCTTGGGTCGGCCGTGCCAGGTGTGTTTCCCCTCAGAGATCGCGCCGCCAAGATCTCCAGCGGCTGCTGCGTGATTTAATTCCTTGATCGCCATCAGTCATGTGTCATGACGCCGAAATTTATCAGGGGTCCGACGAGCCCGACCCATCGTCGGCACGTCAGAGAGGGCGGGGCTGTGGAGAGGCACTGTAGTCGGGTGCGGCCCACGGCGGCTGGGTCAGGGCGAATGAAGGCCTCCCGCAGCGGTCGGTGCCGGATCATTTGGTGCGTCTGTGCGCTTGATTCGCGCTCGTGTGCTAGAGCGCCGGGGTTCTCGGATCCCGGAACAGCTTGTCGTCGGAGTTCGCGGACGTCGTGTCCCAAACACAACACAGATGACTGTCGTGAACTCATTCCGAGGCTGCAGCGAGCTGAACGGCCTCCCGAAGCGCTGGCTCTACAACAGGCGGCCTTCTACGTGTGATTCTGACCACCCATGCCATGCTACAGCAGCGGGCTGTTTGTGCTCTTATTGCACCTTTCATGTTGCGACTTGCAATGTGGCGTGGCAATGCCGGTTGAGCTGCGGTCGATTAGCCCTCCGTGATCCTGTAGAGCACATACCACCCCTCCTGCCATGGTGCCTCCGCCCATGGCCCAAGGACTGCTGCTCCGCCGGCGGCGGTCGCTGACGAACTCGCCCGGCGTGTGGAACTTAAGTTAGCGATGTGACGTCACAGGGTTGCATCACGGTCCGACGGGCGGCGGGCGAGCCCTGTGCCGTGCTGGCGTTGCAGGGGCGTGCACGGGAAGCGGTTCGGGTGGGTCGCTGGGGAACTCAGCCGCAAGAGAGAGCTTTCCAGCTCGCGGGTTCTCCGTCCGTGTTGTGAATGGAGCGTGGGCGCAACGTCTCCGCTCCACTTGTTAAAAAAACGGCGAAGGTCACCCGGCGGCACCATGTGATGACGTGCCTGGAACGGATTCCGTGGCGCGAATCTTCCAGACAGAAGCTGTTCCAGTTGAACAGGGAAAGATGGAACCCCGGTATGAGTGGTGCCGTCAGGGGGCGATGGGGAATTACACTGGCAAAGTTGCCCCGAAGAAGTCTTCCAAAATCCGGAATACAAAATTTAGGCATTGGTTTTGTACGAGGCACCCAGATCTCCACAGAGGCACCTAAATCTGCTCTCTTGCCATGAAAAAGTCGAGGTCAACGCCATTGAACTTGTGCTGTCAGTTTAAAACTGCTGTCTGAAAAATATCATACAATGACTGCTATTAATGGTCGCGGATCGGGTCCTTATGGTTGGATAGTAAAACCTGCAAAAGGTATGGTAAGAATTATCATGTAGTGATATATATATATATATATATATATATATATATATGTATGTATATATATGTACATATGTATATATATATGTATGTATATGTGTACATATGTATATATATATATATATATATATATATATATATATATATATATATATATAGCGATATCAAGAGTCCAAAACATTCTGGGAAGTTAGGTGATAAGGGTGCTGCCACTGGATAGGAAGGTGGCGACCCACGTCACGGTGTGCGGTATCTATTTTAAGGATGACTAGCGTCAAACCAGAAGTCCAAAAGTCTCAAACCATGCCAGATTCGGCCTCTCAGTTGGGTTGTTTACACTCTGATACTGACTATATCGCAGTCTTGAATGAACAGGGCTGGAGCCAATTCAATGACGCCGGTGCAGTGAGTTCATGGACGCGGTGTGACAGACGAAACCGCATTTAACGATGTGCATGCGTTTGACTAGATTGCCATAGCAATGGCTGAACACGAGTGGAACGGTTCCGAATGTAGTGCACTCATGTCCCAGGAAGTCATTCCACCTTGATCACTGTAACTGGTTTGATAAATGAGTTCATATAGGCAGTTCTCGTGATTAGACCGCCGGTTTAGTGGCAGTTTGGATATAAAAAGGTGGTACTGTTTTTTGCACGCCCGAGAATTTGGTTTTAATTTCTTTAATGCGCAAAAACACCAGGTCGAGACTTATGGATGTAAGCGCTATTGTCATATTCATATCAATGCACAAAATCCCAACGGCCCACACTTGTGTAATGCGAACATAGTTTTTAGCCATCTTCAGTGCTTCATAAACTGTGATGATCATGAAGTATCTCAATGTAGTACGCTTACGAACTGCATTCTGTTGGCCGCAGGGGACATCTGCTGTCGTTATTAGGGCTTTACTCAGATGCTGAGGCTGTATGGCGTCGCCTGCCTCTTACCATGGCATGAAAAGCGGGCATAGCGGGAATCGAACCCCATTCCTCTGGTTTCCCAGGCGCGCAGTGGTGAACGCAAACCGTCAATCACTGCGCTATTCCACGATTAAATCCTCCAGTTTTAGTTGCTAGACAACAGCTTTCGACGGGTCATGTCCGCAGAAAGGCTGCCAAACACTCACTGATGCCAGGCAGTGGACCACCTAATCTGACATGGCGTGTGCGGGTGAGAATGTTCCGTAAAGCGTCAGACAGGGCGTACAATAGCGTAAGTAGCCGGTGCGCTTTAAATACCGTCATCATCACCGCACTGCTGGGGTTAGGGGTGGGGTGATGACATATAATGGCATATGATGGCACATATGGACGATGGCTCGTCTGATGTACCCGTCTACGGCCGTCCGCGGCCACGTGATTCTCCATGTCGGATGCGCCAGGCCGCACCGAGTCTCCAAGACAAGTGGAGCACAGTGCAGCACTAAGAGTGTTCTGTCCTACGTGACGTCGCGTAGAATCTTCGCCGGGTGTGTTCGCAGTGCGGTTTTTACTATTTACTTCTTCGTCACGGTCGTGACGATAGCTGCGCATGCAGCCACAAGTAAGAACGGAAACCGCAATGTGTGCTCTTTGTAGTATATGGAACACCTTTTGTCACTCCTGGTTGGTTTTGAGCACGCAAAGCGACCTGTTTATACTTGAGTGTGTTGCGCTATTTGCGTCCCTCTTCGATCGAGTCGCAGAAAAAGATTCTGCGCGTCCCGTAAATATTTAATGTGGCGTCACGTAGAATCTTTGTCGTTCCGGTCGCTGCGAACACCAAACAGCGCAGAATCTATGGGATATGACGTCACGAGTGATGTTGATGGCTCAGGACCTTGGTCGTCCGGTTCGCTGCGAATGCGCCCCTTGTCTCGTGTGGTGCCCGGTTGCAGCCGCTAGACCACGTGACGGGAGGGGGGGGGAGGGGAGGCCCCGTGTCGCCGCGTGACTTTTCGTCACCACATGACATGGCGCTGACCGTGGCCCGTGCCGACAGGACGCCGAGGTGATCGAGGTGCTGTGGCAGCAGGACATCGACCTGGGCCTGACCCGACACGACTTCGACCCGATCCGCTCCTTCTCCGAGGAGGACGAGACCGCTCCGCTACCGGAGAAGGTCGCTCGTCTCGATGATGAGGTACGCGACCGGCCGCCACGCGGCGGTACGTCGCACGACGCTACAGTACTCGGTCACACGGTCCGAGATGGGAACGGTACTTGAGAGCGCTCGCAGCTTTGTAGCAGACGTGTCCGCGGTTATTTCATGGAAGGTTACGAATGCAGAACTGCTGGCAGCAGGTAGCACTCTGACAATGACGCCGTGCGTTGTGTACTTAACGTGTGTGTTCATAGGCACTTCATCTATGCGATGTGTCCTCACTGCTCGATGTTGCCTTGCTCTACAAACATTGACTGCGCTGTGTTTGTACGATCTGTGCCTGCCCGTGTAGTGAAGCGTCGTTTAGCTTGTTCAGTAAGTGGAGATATATGGGTGTGTTTAGTGCAGTATGCAAATGAGAGGACCGTGGAGTGCCTTCCCGTCTATGTGCGTTCTATTCTCATTCTCCTTGACCTTTCCGTAGTCTTCGAAGACCGTCAGGCGCCATCGATGTACGCAATTCGACTGTGTTCATGAATGCGCTCTTTGGCAAGGCTCACTTTACTGATGAACACTTCATCGAGACCTATGCTGATGTGTGGGTGGAGTAGGCCTGGAGATCTGAGAGCTGTAAAGACATTGTGGGGTCACGTAAAAGACGGAAAAGCTATGAAAACGGCGTGGGCCTGTCAGAATAACCTGAAATCACTGAAAATACTGCGAGGTCCATACTTAGTGTTTGCAAAACACCAGTGACATCTTCCCACCTGTGTTGCGCGTGAGCTGTTCCAAACAGCCTACGATCGCATGGTGTGATTCCCACCTATGTTGCGCGTGAGCTGTTCCAAACAGCCTTCGATTGCATGGTGTGATGGCAGACGCGTGCTGCCAGATGGCAGTCGGATGAGGCTGTCAGCCCAGTGCGTGCCCCTCTGTGAGCTGGCGCTGCCGCCGGCGGCTCCGCGCCAGCGCTCGTCTGCTCCGCCCCGGTGCTGACCGAGTGATGCTGCCCTCTGTTGGGAGGGGCCCGCGGTGACACTGGGTGACCGTTCCGCAGTGGCAGCCGGCCGGCGCGCCTGCAGCGGCGTCAAGTGGCGCCGCGGCCGTGGATGACTCGCTCGACGACATTTGGGCTGGTCTCGATTACAGCATCGACTCGGAGACAGGTAACTGGTCCGAGTGCGTCGACTACTCGATCGACTCGGAGACGGGTAAATGGTCTTAACGCGCCGCCTGCACCGTCGACTTGGAGACAGATTATTGTTCTGAGTGTCTCGACCACACATGTAATTCGGAGGCAGATAATTGGCCTGGGTTTCTAGACTGCACCATTCACTCGGACACAGGTCATTGGCCTGAGTGCCGTGATTACGCTATTGAGTTAGGTAGGCAACTGGCCAGTGCCGTGTGCACCATCGACTCTGAGACGGGTCGCATGTCTGCGAGTGCTGGGGCTGCACTATTTACCGGTAGACAGCTAACTGGCCCGAATATCTCTGTCACACGGTCGGCTAGGAGGCAGACAACTGGCTGATTGGTTCGTCTGCACTGAACGCTTAGATGTATTCTCCCGAGCAAGGAGGCACATGAGCCCATCATGGAACAGAACACAAAAGTGCATGAAGTGGCATATAAGTCCACACGCAGCCAAAACACGTAACGAAAAAAAAACACGACACGGTAATATGAGCCCTAGCGGGATGCGTATCGAATCGCATTGTAGTCATAGATAGACCAGTATCTGGATTGCCTCGGCCACGCCGTCGGTTCGGAGACGTTTGACTTGGAGGCAGATAGCTGGCACGAGCGCCTCGGTTACACCAGACAGGGAGCGACTCTGAGGTAGGCAACTGGTCGGGGTTTCCCGGCACACCATCGGCTCTGTGGCAATACACTCGTGGTGAGCAGAAAAGAACAGACGAGGACAGCAGCATGTCGTCGCTCTCAGAAATATACGCTTCTAGTACACGTGTTAAGTCGTTACGTTGAAGATGCCGATGTGGCCAGCTGCATGAAAACGCACGCGTTGCAGGTGTCCAGTTTGCATGCCCTACAGTAGTATCCGTCGTGAAGATTTTGTGGTACTTCTCGCTATTCTAAGAAAACGAGGATGTGGTGTGAAGTTCTTTCCACGCGTCTTTTTGCTTCCATTTGAAGTGGAGGTATTTCCCGTGCCTTTTTGAGGGCGCATTCGGTGTGACATCTTTGTGATACCCGGGATGCGCGGGACGTCGGGCGTTCTCTGGCGTGCGTCGGAGGGTGTTGTCATGCTGTGGGCCCCGTTATCGCCCGAGCGTGCCATGTTGCACTCTCCGTGGGACCTCTGGCGGCACGACACGGCCGACGTCTGAGCGGTGGCGGCGCCCGCAGGCGAGTACGTGCTGTGCCTACCGGCCGTGTCGCCGGCGGAGAGCGCGCAGCAGGTGCCCTCCTCCGTCGATCAGCTGAACTCGGCGGTCGACGCGCTGGACGAGCCGGCCCTGTGCGGACCCATTCCGACCACCATCGACGACCTGATCAGCGCCCAGAGCCGGCCCATGCCGACGACGGAGGTACGGTCCAGCTCCCTCGCGAACCCCTCCGGACGAGACCCGCACCCGTCCGCACGCTGGTTCGTCCGCACGACGGGTCCACACCGTCCGTGCCGTAGGCCCGTCCGTGCGAACTCCTGCGCTCCCAGACTCAACCGCTGTTGGCAACAGGCCTGCGGTCCCCCCCCCCCCCCACATCATTACGAGCTTCTGACTGGCTTACCCCTGCATAATCAGATCAGGATTCAAACCCGGATATAGTTAGCGACAGAGGTCCGCCACACCTCTACCATACATGTACTCGTATTCGCATCACCTGTGCTATATCTGTACTCGTAATCACCACACCTGTGCTGTACCTACACTCGTACTCGTCATTCCTGTATTATACCTAAACTCGTACCCGCCCCAACCATACTGTAGCTATACTCGTATTCGCCGCTCTTGTACTGTACCTGTACTCTTACTAAGCCCCCTTATACCCCTCCTATACTGTACCGGTACTCTTACTCACCCCTCCTGTACTGTACCTGTAATCGCACTCCCCCACCTGTGCTGTACCTGTACTTGCATTCGCCCTACCTGTACTCAAAGTGATAAGCACCCACATACTGCTGGTAGGGGTGCGATGGCTCCCTCAGCTGGCCTCCACTTGATGGACCGGTCGCTGTTTGTTCAACAGAGGCATAGCGCCCAGACAATCGCCTGTCTCAGGCGTTGCTTTGCATCAGCATTTGCCCTTTTAATGTGGACACGTTTCTCAGGCGTCGCCTGTTCTCGGTACTGCCTGTTGATGGCGAGCCTCTCCACTGACAGCGGCGTGTCGAGCTGGGCGGGCCCTCTGTTGATGGCGAGCATCTCCACTGGCGGTTGTGTGTGGAGCTGGACGGGCCCGCTGTTGATGGCGAGCCTCTCCACTGGCGGCTGTGTGTCGAGCTGGGCGGGCCCTCTGTTGATGGCGAGCCTCTCCACTGACGGCTGTGTGTCGAGCTGAGCGAGCCCTCTGTTGATGGCGAGCCTCCCCACTGACGGCTGTGTGTCGAGCTGGGCGGGCCCGCTGTTGATGGCGAGCATCTCCACTGGCGGCTGTGTGTCGAGCTGGGCGGGCCCTCTGTTGATGGCGAGCCTCTCCACTGGCGGCTGTGTGTCGAGCTGGGCGGGCCCTCTGTTGATGGCGAGCCTCTCCACTGGCGGCTGTGTGTCGAGCTGGGCGGGCCCTCTGTTGATGGCGAGCCTCTCCACTGGCGGCTGTGTGTCGAGCTGGGCGGGCCCTCTGTTGATGGCGAGCCTCTCCACTGGCGGCTGTGTGTCGAGCTGGGCGGGCCTGCTGTTGATGGCGAGCCTCCCCACTGACGGCTGTGTGTCGAGCTGGGCGGGCCCTCTGTTGATGGCGAGCCTCTCCACTGAGGGCTGTGTGTGGAGCTAGGCGGGCCCTCTGTTGATGGCGAGCCTCTCCACTGGCGGCTGTGTGTGGAGCTAGGCGGGCCCGCTGTTGATGGCGAGCCTCTCCACTGACGGCTGTGTGTCGAGCTGGGCGGGCCCGCTGTTGATGGCGAGCCTCTCCACTGGCGGCTGTGTGTCTAGCTGGGCGGGCCCGCTGTTGATGGCGAGCCTCTCCACTGGCGGCTGTGTGTCGAGCTGGACGGGCCCTCTGTTGATGGCGAGCCTCTCCACTGGCGGCTGTGTGTCGAGCTGGACGGGCCCTCTGTTGATGGCGAGCCTCTCCACTGGCGGCTGTGTGTGGAGCTAGGCGGACCCGCTGACCGCCGGCCGTCGCGTGCCTCAGGTGCCGCTGCAGAGACGCCTCGCCTCCTGCGACTCGGGCCAGGGCAGTCTGGGCGACGCCGACTGCAGCGCCGAGCAGATAGCTCTGCTTGACCAGATGATCGAGGCCGCTCAGAACCACACGATTGCCAGCCAGGTAACGGATGACCAGCGAGCAGACAGACGTCATCCTTACTGTTCGGGCACCAAGTAGCACTGCAGTCGGCGCATCCGAAAATTCCAGTGAATTCCAAATTCCAAATATTTTGCTTGTTTGCTCTCTGATGCCGCCGTTGTGTTGCACTTTCATGTGCCTTTCTCCGGCTTGCCGGGCGTGTCCGTCCCCACCTTTTGTGACGTAATGCTCAAAATGTGGCATCTGTTGTCTTTCTATGCGAACCACAACCGCGTGCCGGATCGACCCAAGAGCTGCAAGCTCAAGCTTCCCCGTCGGCTGAAGGCCGTGTGAGGGTACGCTGTCCCTCTCTGCGCGTACCGGCCTTCTTCCGTCGCTGAGTGCTGGCGCTGACGTACGCTCGCCTTCTGCCTTCAGCCCCGTCAGCCGCTGGTGCGGATGGTGAGCATGGAACAACGCTGGCAGGATCTGGCCAGCGTTCTGCTGCTGCCTGGCCAGCAGCCGCCGGCGGTGCCGCCGACGGCGACGCTAGCGCCGCCCAGCGGCCCGCTGACGCAACAGGCCGACTTCCACGACAGCCACGGTCAGTCACGACACGCTGTCATGTGATGTGTTCGGGGATGCCCGGTTGGGAAGGGCTGCAGGGCTGCCCCCACCCCTGCCTGACGACCCCACACCGTCGCAGGTGTTCTCGGCACGTGATGTGTTCGGGGATGCCCGGCTGGGACGGGCTGGAGGGCTGCCCCCACCCCTGGCTGACGATCTCACGCACTGTCACAGGCGCCTTGGGCCAGACCAGCCCTCCGGCGTCCGCGCCGTCCGGTGGCGCCACCGGCGGCGATCTCCTATACTACCAGCTGTCACCGGTGACACCGATGGCCGAGCCAGCGCCTGCGCTGCCGCTGGACCGGGAGGAGGCTTTCCTCTCGCACCTGCTGGACGCGGACGATCTGGACCTGGACAGTGCGCCCATCACGCTCGGTAGGGGACGTCAGACGGCCGCGCTGCGCATCGCCGTCGGGTCGCGGCTGCTGGCGGCCCGCTTTGAAGTGACCCGCATGTCGTGTGGGGTCGATACAGATGGCTGCGTGCGTGCGCACATGCGTGCGTGCGTGTGTGCAGCGGTGTAAGGCGGTGCTAGGCGGTGGAAAAGATGCGCACATGTGCAGCCTTCCGTGGACACAGCGCAGTCATGCCGCGCGATTATGCGCAGTGAACATGCAAAGCAGAGTTCAGCAGAAGTTCGGCCCGGTCTGACTTGATGTGATCTGATGCGGTTTGGTCTGCGTTGAACTGGTCCGATCGCCTTTCACCTGACACTGTGTTGGCCCGGCAGCTGCTGAGGACTGGGTCGGCAGTCAGACTGGGGGAGATGTCCAGCGGCCCGTCTCCCTGCCCGACCACCCGCAGTGAGTGACCTGCACCCTGACCATCACCGTGACCATTAGCGTGACCGTGGCCGTCACCGTCACCGTCACCGTCACCGTCACCGTCACCGTCACCGTCACTGCGACCTTCAGCGTGACCATCACCCTGACCCATCACCGTGACCGTCAGCGTGACCGCCAACGTGACCCACAGCGTGACCGTCAGCGTGACATTCAGCGTGACCATCACCGTTACTGTCAGCTTGACCGTCATCGTGACCGTGACCGTGACCGTCACCGTCACTGTCACTGTGACCTTCAGCGTGACCGTCACTGTGACTATCACCGTGACCTTCAGCGTGACCTTCATTGTGACTGACTATCACCGTGACCGCCAGGGTGACGGTCACCGTGACCGTCACCGTGACCGCCAACGTGACCGTCACCGTGACCTTCAGCTTGACCGTCACCGTGACCGTCACCGTGACCGCCAACGTGACCGTCACCGTGACCTTCAGCTTGACCGTCACCGTGACCGTCACTGTGACCTTCAGCGTGACCGTCAGCGTGACCGTCACCCTGACCATCACTGTGACCGTCACCGTGATCGTCAGCGTCACTGTCTTCGTGACCGTACCGTTAATGAGGTTGATGGTGATCTACATTTGACATTCATTCAGTTGACATTTGACTTTTATTTGACATACACACGCCGCGTCCCCGGTGTGTACTAACTCTGTCGTTTCCTGGCAAGTCTTGTCGTGCATTCTGTAAAAATCCCTGAGTTAAAGGTTGTGACAACGATATTTGTGCTCATATCAAGGTGTTGGTAACAATAAGTTCAGGGCAGGCTGTAGCGTAATTATGTTTGGATCAAACGTCACTCTGTGATGTCACATTCGACAGGGAGTGCCGTGCTTGTCCAGCTGTCACTGGGATGATGACCGGGTCAGTCGAACTCGGCCGTTGCTGGTCCGTGACCCCCAACCTGCCTTGACCTCGTTCGTCCGTGCGCACCCAGGTCTTCCGGGAGCGGACTGAACGGGCTCGGCTCGTTCAGTCGGTGTCCGGCCCCGGCCGGCGCCGGCTCGGGCCCCGACCCGCCCAGCCACGGCCGTAGTCCCGGCCTGCCTGTGGCCCAGAAGAAACACCAGATGTACGGCAGACGTGTTTTCACCGGAAATGACGGTACGCACGCGACCTGGGCGGCTCTGTGCACGTGCGGGTCGCGCTGATGCAGCATTAACACCGGTTCATGGTTTGACGGGGGTCGGTGATTACCGGAAACCGAATTAACATCGGTTCATGGTTTGACGGAGGTCGGTGCTTACCGGAAGCGGTCTGTTTTATCAGGGAGCTCGTATGTATGCTTTGGATGGTATTGCAACACGTCTACTAACACCACGCATCCAGGGCCGGCATGTGTCCGCCGGGCCGTATCCGCTTGCCTGTGTCCGCTCGTCTGTGTCCGCTGGCCTGTGTCCGCCGGCCTGTATCCGCTTGCCTGTGTCTGCTGGCCTGTGCCCCGCTCGTCTGTGTCCGCTGCCCTGTGTCCGCCGGCCTGTATCCGCTTGCCTGTGTCTGGTGGCCTGTGCCCGCTCGTCTGTGTCCGCTGGCCTGTGTCCGCCGGCCTGTGACGCCGGCCCGTGTCATGAAGACATAAAGACATCTGGCCAACAAAGATGCACAAGGGCCCATCGTGGCTGGCCTACCTCAGGTTTCGGACACATCCTCGAAACTGATCTTACCACTTGACCTGCATGAATTCAGCTGTAAATGAGATCTTTAGACCGATAGATCTTGTCCAAACGGGTTTTGAATGTTGCTAGGGAGGGACTTTTTCAATTCCGTTTGTCAACCGATTCCAGTGGTTCACTACTCTTTGACTAAATGAAATCTACCTCCTCATTGTTCTACTCCTAGCTTTTGCTAAATGAAACTTGTTTCCTCTATGTCTCGGCCTAATTTCCAGTGCTCCTTGTAGATCTACCATGTTTATCCCTTTCATGATCTTGTATACCTCTATCAGATCCCATCTAAGTCCGCGATATTTCAGCGAACACAAATCCAAGGCCCTGAGCCTCTCCCTACATTCTAAGTCGCCAATCCCATATGTCAACCTAGGTGCTTTTCGCGGTACTCTTTCCAGTCCATCTGTATCTTTCTGGAAGCATGGAGGTCAAGCCTCTACACAATACTCTAGGTGTGGTCTGACATAAGCTTGGTACAACTTTTTAATGGCATTCTTACTCTTGTGATGGATATTCCGGTTAATAAGCCCCATGTCCGAAGTGTCTTGCTCCCAGCAGCCACACAATTGTTCAGTCTTTAAATCTCTAGAAATTGTAACCCGTAAGTCGTTTTCTGTCCGCGGGCTTGTGACGCTGGCCTCTATCCATAGGCCTGTACCGCGGCCCGAGCCCAGCCAGCACTACCAGCGTCTCCCCGGCTCCGGTCTCGTCGGCGCCGGCCAGTCCCGGCCGCTACGCCGCCGAGGGGGGCCTGCAGGCCGCGTACCCGCCGGCCAACACGCCGACGCCGGGCGAGGCGGCCACCGACTGTGAGCCGGACGAGATCAAGTTCAGCCGCAGCGCTCAATTCACTAAGGTGGGCCGCAAGAGCCGGGCCTGGGCTGGAGGGGGGGGGGGGGGCGTCTCGGTATGGCCGTGAGAGGAGTGGGTTGGTCACGATGAAGTGAAGGGAGGGGTGGGTTGGCGACGATTGGATGGAGGGAGGAGTGGGTTGGTGACGATGGGGTGGTTGGAGGAGCGGGTTGGTGACGATGGGGTGGGAGGAGGAGTGGGTTGGTGACGATGGGGTGGAGGGAGGAGTGGGTTGGTGACGATGTGCTGGATCGTCGATCGGACGAACTTGGCTTTCAGCTGTGTCAGACCCGAAAAGCCCAGCGGATGATATTTATGTCTAATGATGTGTGCTGTGTTTGCAAAATTCGCTGTCAACCGACAAATAGCCCTTTTCGCGGTGTACGTCAAACGTCAGGACATTTGGAAAAGAGGAGAATGGTTGAATGAATTTGAATATTGCCGAAGATGTAGGTGCAAAAAATGGCAAAGTGTCATCGACAGTGAAAGCACGTGTCGATCTGGATTAACTTCGATCATTATGATCATTCAGCGGTGCACCTCACGGTGGCGCGCCCATGTTAAACCCATACATTCCCCGGCACGTCGTCCTGCACCTCCGCGTAAACCGTGTGGCGATGAGCCCCTCGTGCCGCCGCGCACACCGAGCGCGGGCGGGGTGCTGTGTGGCTGACCTGACCGCCTGTGTGCCCGGCGCCAGTCCCCTGCGGAGCGGCTCGGCCCGGTGGCGCACAACCACAGCTACCAGCAGCCTGCGCTGGCCGAGGGGCCGAGCGAGGCGCAGCGACCCATCGCCCGCGACAAAAGTGAGCCGACAGGCCGCACGCCGAGCACACACCCCAGATCGGCCGCGCGGTGGGGGAGACTTAGGACGGGCACGCCCCGTCCGGAGGCGCCTGCGGTGCCGGATGGGTGTTGTGTGGCGCCGAAGTGTGTGTCGACGGACGCGCCAGTGGCAGTGCGGAGAGGGATCGGTATAAGCGGTGGTCACAACAAATGCACGCCAAATATGTAAGCGACATTTGTTCATTAGCCTAGATTTCTACCTGGGGTGAATCGACTTTTTACAAACCCTCAGCGACGACTCGCATCCAGTTAAGTGGGCACAACAGTAATGCCGTGGTCCACTACTCCTGAAGAGTTTTCAGAGGAGATACGCCGGATAGGTCTGCTTTTGCGTAGTCACTGCCTTCGCCGCGGTGCGTTGGCGACCATTTTGGCCAAAACCCGTCATTGGCGTATCTGTTCCCGGCTGGGGATGCTGTTGATCAATGTGTCTTACCCGCCGCCGGGCCGCGCGCGGTGCCGGCGCGTCGACACCGTGACGTGGCTGACCGCCGCCGGCCGGCAGGTGGCGAGCGCAAGGGGGAGCGGCTGTCGCGCGACGACAGGAGGACACGCGCCATGAACATCCCGCTGTCGGCCGAGGACATCGTGCACCTGCCCATGGACGAGTTCAACGAGCGGCTGGCCAGGCACCAGCTGACCGAGGCTCAGCTGAGCCTGGTGCGCGACGTGCGCCGGCGCGGCAAGAACAAGGTGAGGCGATACTCGGCGCGCAGCCCTGCTACTTTCGCCCCCGGGCGGTGGTCGGGCTCCTTACCGTGCCGGCCAATATTCTGAAGCGGCAGGAATGTGTGCGGATCCGATGCATGATGAAAGCTATTTCGTTTTTCTTGTCTTGGAAGGTTTACCAGTTTTTGTAGATTTTAACAGCAGCCATGTTCTCGAAACTTGGCCTGTTTAAAAGCTGAACGAAGAGGGGGTGTTTCTTCGCACAGCTCGCCGCGCAGAACTGCCGCAAGCGCAAGCTGGACCAGATCGCCGCGCTGACGGAGGACCTGAAGAAGGTGCGCGATCAGAGGCAGCGCACGCTGTCCGAGCATCAGTTCCTGACCGAGGAGCGCTCTCGTATTCGCGACAAGTATGCACGGATGCAACCGCCACGTCTTCCAGTACGACCTCCGCTGATTCACTGGTGGAAATTGCCAGCTGACTCTTCCGAGAAAAAAATACGGTGATTAAAGGCAGATATTAACGCTATTAACTACAATACCTTGTTGACAATGGTTGCCACGCTTTGTGAATGTATATCTAATGTTTCCCCCAAACAAGCTATTAAACGAACTGTTGTATGTGTGCAGAATGGAGAGAGAGAGAGAGAGAAGGAGAGAGAGAGAGAGGAGAGAGAGAGAGAGAGAGAGAGAGAGAGAGAGAGAGAGAGAGAGAGAGAGAGAGAGAGAGGAAGAGAGAGAGAGAGAGAGAGAGAGAGAGAGAGAGAGGAGAGAAGAGAGAGAGAGAGAGAGAGAGAGAGAGGAGAAGAGAGAGAGAGAGAGAGAAGAGAGAGAGAGAGAGAGATAGAGAGGGAGAGAGAGAGAGAGAGAGCGAGAGGAGAGAGAGAGAGAGAAGAGAGAGGAGAGAGAGAGAGAGAGAGAGAAGAGGAGAGAGAGAGAGAGAGATAGAGAGAGAGAGAGAGAGAGAGAGAGAGAGAGAGAGAGAGGAGAGAGAGAGAGAGAGGATAGGAGAGAGAGAGAGAGAGAGAGAGAGAAGAGAGAGAGAGAGAGAGAAAGAGAAAGAGAGAGAAGAGAGAGAGAGGAGAGAGAGAGAGAGAGAGAAGAGAGAGAGAGAGAGAGAGAGAGGAGAGGAGAAAGAGAGAGAGGAGAGAGAGAGAGAGAGAGAGAAGAGGAGATAGAGAGAGAGGAAGAGGAGAAGAAGAGAGAGAGAGAGAGAGAGAGAAGAGAGAGATAGCGAGATGAGAGAGAGAGAGAGAGCTAGAGAGATATAGAGAGTAATAGAGAGAGATAGATAGAGGAGAGAGAGATAGATATGAGAGAGAGAGAGAGGATGGTGGATGCAAGCACAGACGCCCAGAGGTCATTATACAATTTCTCGAATTCACATCAGGCATCAGCGAGTCCTTGGCCTGTGTCTCTTTGAACTTGCGACTGTTGACTATATTGATGTGCGTTTTGAGACCTGACCACCTCGACATGTCGTCCCCGTCTCCGACTGGATTGACGCTACGCCCCTGCCAGTAAGACTGCGTCCCTGTCGATGTGACAAGCTCCATTGATCCTGTTCCCTGCTGCATTGGCACTGTATCCCTATGAGACTCACCACGTGTTCCTGTCGAACAGCCTCGATATCTCTGCTGGGGTGAGCCTGTGTCCCTGCTTGACTGACGTCGTGCCCCTGCCGGACTGACACCGTGCCTGTCCGCAGTCGCTGAGGGACGCGGATGGCCGGCCGTACTCGCCGGCCGACTTCAGCCTGCAGATGTCGGCTGATGGCAACGTCCTGCTGGTTGCTCGCAGCGCCGCCAGGGGCGCTGTGATCGTGGCCGACCCGGCCGTTGGCGCGGGGCGTAGCAGGTCCCAGTGATGAAGACCAGGCCGGGACTCGGAGGTGGCGCCAGCGGCTACGCCAGGCACTGCGCCTGGGGGCCGTCACGGACGCCGGGGAACGTGCTCATCGAGCGCGCTGCCTTGTGGGGATGGGGGGGGGGGGGGGGGGTGAGGGGGGCGCTCGCTGGGGTCGCGGTGGAGTGCCTTCGTGGGATGAGCACAAACGGAAGATCCCATGCTGTGCTGACGCGTCGGAGTGGGCGGTGAGGGGATAACGTGTGGAAGAGACGGATGGAGGTTGTTGCAAGTTGTAAGAATGGGAGACACGATAGACTGTTTCTGCCAGTGTGTACTGTGTTTATCGAGTTCGGTTCACTTGGAATGCATGCTCGTTCGTTGTTACTGAAGTTAGCCCCATTAAATTCTAACGCACCGCGTGCGATTTCGTGGGAACGTATGACGAGTATCATAAAGTGATGTGAACTACAAATTAGTGATGAAATGTGACTATAAGTAGGTGGTCGAATAACGTTTAGCGTCAGGTAATCGTTGGATGGGTATAACAGCAAACGATGCGACGCTTAGCAGTGGAACTGGCGTGCCGGGTCCCATCAGGAGACACTGCGATAGAAGTGGCGACTGAAGGCAGTGTCCATGGTGGTACTAAGAGACGATGCTGTAACGGGTACCAGCCACCGATAGTGTGTCGGTGCTCAGCTGATCAGTGTGACGGCCGTCGGCGAACAGAGATGCCGCGAATATCGCCCCATGTGACAGGTGCTGGGGATGGTAGAAGGGCCGCTTTTAGCGGCATTGGTGAGACCTGATCAGGTGGTATTGGCACGGGTAGCGACGGAGGGCGACGGCGCGGCAGCTGGCAGGCACCAGGCGGCAGGAGTGAGACGAGTGCTGGCTTCCGAACGTGTAGCTGCGGCGTAGCATGCGTCCGGGGGCGATTGTCGCGGTCGACAGACGCTCGGGACTGTTGTCAGCCGGCGGGTGACAGTGACGTCCACGGGAAGATGAACGGTGCTGTCACGGAGCGAGCGCGGAGGGACCGGACGTCGGCACGGATGGCCGGGTCCAGCCTTGCATGACGTACCATCGTCTGAAGGCGCGTTGTAGCTAGGCGTTGTAGGTAGGCGTCGCGATGTGGGAAATCATTCAAACGCGTCGAGTGAGCGCTTTATGGTCAAAGCTGTCCCCATGGCTTGCTTTATCTGTAGATTTGATGCAGGTTAACGCCGTAGGTTGGCCGTGAGCTACGGAGGAACGATATAGCATTGCATTATCAGATGGATCGCATATACGAACCCTGTAGTCGTCTGCCTCGTTTGTTTGGTCGATGAAGGGCGAACAAACAGGTTTGCGAGTGGAATGAATGAACGCTTTGGTGTTATGCTGTTAGGTTCACGGTCACGGACCCTGGAAATGTTTATTTTGCTGTAGTTCAAAACGTTTAAATCACTGACTGGTCTTCTGCACCCGGTTTGTACTGCACGGCCCAAAAACGGCCTTTTGCGTTGCGTGACTCCACCACTGTGCCTGCATGTCACCATCTTGGTGAAATTTGACGGGCAATAAAAACCAGCAGACGTATCATCATCTCTTGCTGCCTTTTATGAACTCCGCCGGTATTCGCGCCGTCCTTACCAGCAACTTATATTACTTGTCAACAACTAACGTTTGCGTCCCATGAGGATTGCTCTCATTGACATCAGACTGTTATTACGAGCGAGGCCACTGGTCGATCGACTCACTGTGATGTTTTCTACGTGATCACAAAGTGATGTTTTCAGCTTGAGTGAGCCGTATCGGACAACCCGTCACGCGTTCGGGTTCGGTTTGGTTCGAATTACAGCCCTTCCGGTCAGTAACGACCAGTTATGCCAATAATGATAACTTAGTAATGCAGTTACCTGCAACTGGGGTACCATCCACTGGCTCAGCCCGCGCAATGGCCCGTATACGGCGTGAGTGCTCACCGTTCGACGAAGCCCCCACAGGAGGGCCAGCCAAACCGGGCGCCGCGAGGATGCAGGATAACGCGGCCATGGGGAAGGGCCGAGGACGCATTCTGAAGTGTTTTCGCAACCATTGATTGCATCTTCACGTGGCGTTCGGCACCGAGGGCAATTCTTCAAAAGTTGTGAAACGTAAATTCCACAGCATACTATTTGCGGAAATGTGTATGTTCATGCGTGGATTTCCTGCATCACGACGTGAAGTCTCATTTGCTGACATTGAGCATTGAAACGCAACATTGAAAATGTGACGCCCGCCGACCGCCAAAAAGCTGGACAACGGGGATCGAAACCGGCCGGATCCCGACAATAACATCACAGCGGAACAGGATGGAGTCACGCCGGGTCAGAACGAGAAACCGCAGCAGTGTGTGTCGATGTGCGTAGTAATCCGCGCGCACGCCATGACGCAAATCACGAGTTCTCAGAGCTGCGGTCGTTTTCTAAGAAATGGAGTCATATTCCACCCACCAGAGAAGATAGATGCGGAGACAATAAGAGTTCCCCCAAGATGGCGGGGAAGGGGGCGGTGGAACCAATTGTTGGTTTACCACTTTCCAGTTAACGCCCATGGGGCCAATGTTCAACTTTTTCCCCAAGTGCCAGTGTTCTAGCCAACTAGTCTGTGACCCTGGAAAGATGAGGCCAACCGTACGGTAAATACGAGTGTGTCCACATTCTATCAATCACTGGGCAATCACACCGATCTATCTATATGGATGCACTGTCAATTGACGAGAAGCGGCCAGCGCCACGTTTTCCGAACCCGGTCTCCAACAGAGCGTGTCCTGGCTTGAACGGACAGAACGGACCAACCAAATTTAGCGCGTCTTGTCCGGTTTTCAGCTTGTAGCCCAGTCAAGTTCTGATCGGTATCCACAGTATGATGCCTATCAGCACTACGGGCGGAACGAGCGAACATCTCACCTATTTTTATCGCCTGCCGGTGCCGGACCTGTACAAGGTAGACTAACTGAGAGGCAATTTGCAACAGTCCTCTGCAAACTGGCACGATCGCCACATCTACGCACACTTGCCTAATTCCTATGACCGGCGACCTTGCCAATGCGATGATCCGAACGGCTGACACAGGCCTGCAAAGGCGTCTGGTTCAGCATGTGAGATGAACAAGGCGTTCTGCTGTGGAAGATGTCCGAACTTCCCGAACTTTTGATCAGATGTGACATTCCCGTCCAGGGTGCTGCATTCCGCTGAAATCATATGCTCGCATCCTCCACTTTCCGCCCCAAAACGGTTTCCATTGACGTCAATAAAAGTTGAGCTTGCGCTACTTTTCGTGTGCTATATCATGTCATTGGGGCTTTACCACGCACTCAGATGCTGAGGCCATATGACGTCGCCTGCCTCTCAACCTGGCAGGAAGGGCGGGCACCGCGGAAAATCGAACCCCGTACCTCTGGCTTCCCAGACGCGTAGTGGTTAACGCAGACGCGTTAACTAGCACACTGCCGGCACCCCCGTTAACTACCACACTGCCGGCACCCCCGTTAACTACCACACTGCCGGCACCCCCGTTAACTACCACACCGCCGGCACCCCCGTTAACTACCACACTGCCGGCACCCCCGTTAACTACCACACTGCCGGCACCCCCGTTAACTACCACACCGTCGGCACTCCCGCGCTACCTTTTGTCACCTGCTCCATGACAAAACCAAAACAGGCCGCAGACGGCGATTGGAAGTCCAGGTGGCTTGCAACCAGATGTGAAACGCTACATGACTCGCTAACGTCGAATGTCTCGAGAAAGAGACTGACAAGAGAAGAAAAGAATCCGTGCTTCACATGCCGTGTTCCGCACGTCGTCAGCTTAACAAAGAAGCGCACGACGCGCTACGCATTTATTGGCTCAAGATGTACGATGCGGACGTTCGACAAGATGACAGACATGAGGGCGACAGAAACGAGGCTCGAGCTCGCGCACCAGCAGCAGCGTCAGATCCTCTCCAGACTCTCCAGCATGATGATACTGTTACCCCGCACCACCTGCAACGGCACGGAGCCCGTCAGACGGAGCGCACCAGGGCTGCGGCGGCGCCTGGCCTCACAGAAACCAGCGACAGACTGTCGCTGTGTGATGGAGTCAGTCACGTGCCGCTCTTACGCGCAATGCAATACCAGCAATATGTTTTTCAGTGTCATAGCACAGATAAGGATAATGGTGCCTTAATAGGATATATGTAACGCAATGACTTATCTTGCCCGAATAAGCCACATGAATTGGTGTTAAATGACACCAATTTGACTCAATTTCGCACTTGCTGTACGATGCCACTCTGTGCCTGGTTCAAGCACGTCACACGGAAAGCATTCAGTGTTAAGCACTGGAAGCCCGTGAGTCTCCCTCTCTCCGGCGAAGATAACGAGCCCTCCCCCAAGATTGGTCATCGTCTGGCCCGACGAGGAATGCAAAGCTGTATGGACGGGGAAGACACCTTGACTTTTATCGCCGATATTGTACTGAATTACGATGTCCATGATACTAAGTTGCACTCAATGAGGAAAAACATGTTGGAAAGACATTACTATCCAAATGGCTATTTTTCACCCTTCACGGCAACTCAGGACAGAACACATTATTTTAAAATGCAGTGAAAAATAACCACACGTATCGCGACTTAGGACAACTGTACCAGTTGACAGCTGGTATGTGTAATGTAGCCGATCACCACCCACAGCAAGTGACAATAACAACCACCAAAGCTAAAAACACCACACACAGGGAAGCAAGGCGCACGGAAGGCGAGACAGAAAGGTGCAGCCCAGTGGCGGGCGGCGTAATGCCAGCCGTCGTTGACCCAACAGGCCAGCGGGCGGCGACAGGCGAACCTCACATCGCCACCGCCGCCCCTCCCCCCCCCCCCCCCCCCCGACCGCCCGCCGCCACTGACCACCATGCCGATCTTGGTGCGCTGTCCGCTCTTGGTGACCTCCAGGCTCTCGTCCAGCACGAGGTTCATGAACGGATCGAAGCCGCGCAGCACGCCCTCGATCTGGCGGCCTCCGTTCAGCTTCACTGCGGGGCACAGGATGGAGTCAGGTCAATGGAGGGGGAAGGGGTGCACACCGGTCACTGCGCAGGCACCCTCTCGCGATGACCGGTGCGGCGGCGGTATGCCGCGCCAAGTGAATGACAGGGGCACTCTACCGGCAGATGGCGTGGTGACCAATGACCACAGTCGACCAGCAGCCACAGTTGACCAACAGAGGGCGTTGGCGTGCCGGGGACCTGACACGACGGATATCTGCTCCGCGCATGCTCGGGGACCACAGCCAATCCGTTAATGGCGTTAATGTCAACTGTCCACGTCACAGTGGTGTCACTGAGTGACAATGACATAGTTTTACATTAATCTAAGCATTGCAGCAAGCAATATATGCAGGCAAGAAGACCTGACAGGATTTTCTGTGTACGGAAGTGCATTAAGCTGTGAGGGAGCTTGAAGTGGGGAGTGGGCTTCCATTGGCTTATGAAGAATAAAACTCAGATGTCTGGGTTTGGGGTCAAATAGCAACAGATTAGCGCCCAAGAATTGCGCGCGGAGACTCCTAGATAGCCAGGATTATGGTAGCATGAATTTGTATTCACATCCTGCATATCCTGAAGAATCAATTTCAAGGCATTAGATCACTGGGCCTACTGCAGACTCGACAGAGCAGGATTTGCAAGTTGACAGGCCATTATTTATTTATTACTATTGCATAACATGTCTAGAAAAAGAAATGTTATTAGGTTACATTAGTATATATGCAGTACCTTAGTACAGTGCTCTCATAGTGATACTTTAGCTGAATATTTTGGGCATCACATTCTTGCATGCATGTGAGGAAAACTGGACAAAATCTGCCACTGGTTGGGGCTCCATGTGTAGACAGTTTCTGACAAAAGACATATAAACAGCAAAACACATTGATATAGTGGCAAATGCCCATTCACAATCAAGCCATCACATATCATAGGCTAACGTGATGCATTCTGAAGAGCTTAAATAAAAAACTCATTCAGATTTTATTAAAGCATGCAGTCTTCCAGACTTTTCTCCAGTAGTGTTGAGTACTTACATGTCATGTGCTTGTCCATAAATCTGAAAACAGATAAAATTGTGAGTATTTTACACCAGCCCAGCATGATCCAAAAGGTATGGCATGAACAGATTGCTAGGCTTCTTTAACTACAAGAAAACTGAAGACATGCTTCCAATACAATCACCTACATTATGAAAGATTCAATACCATTGTATGGATAATGTACTCAGTGATCACATAACCCTGAAATGTTTGTTAAGCTCCATATATAGAATCACAATCACATATAAGTGTTCCTGGAGGCTGTAAGGCTGATCTGGGCTTATGTGTCAGTCTGTGCTGTAACCCAGTGTCCCTCTGGGACTTTGGATGCACTCAGCAACTGAGGCCAGGTCACATAACCTACATGTCAACCACACAGGAAGGGCAGAAAATGAGGACAGTCAAAAAATGCACCAGCAAACTGATTTCTCAGATGCTGAACATGACCACTGCACCACTGGCACCCCTCTCCACCTTCACAGCCTTTCAGCTTTGGCATGGCTGTTAATTTTCATCATAGGTGTAGTGATAAAATAGCATGCTTAAGTGACAGATTGCTGAAATAAAAATTGCTATCTACCTGCACAAATATCCCTTGCAGACAAAATACACAAAAAGCATGGTCAACAGCATACTGTGAACCCCAGTTAAAAACAAAACACTCACTTCAGGGAACACATAAAATGCATCTTGCACTAAATATGTATGCTACAAGTCATATTGAGCAACCATTTTGGAGTCTGTATGCAGTGAAGCTGAGCACCCTGGGCCCAGTGCGTGGTTGCCACCAATTTCAGTGTGGAGCTGGTGTTTTAGGAAGCTATGTTGCAAAAGTCAAGCAAAAATAGTCTGAAAACATATTCCACACCAAATGATTTGCAAATTCAGCACTATTAGGTCTTGAATGGCCCACTGTAGGGACACATGAGCAGGGTTGGGGGTCTGTGATCATCATTACAGTCTCCTGACCTCAGAGACAGGAAGATCAAACTCAATGTTCAGGGTATACATGTATTTTTCTTTTGGCCACAGTGGCCACTCGTGTGACAAGACATGTGTACCCCTGTGGCACACATTTGCCCTCAGGTACATGCTGACCACACTTCACATGTTCACAAACATTTGTGCATCTTCCTGCTTGATGGCAAGAGATTACCCAATGTATGCTAGCAGGCTGGGTACATGCTTTTTAAAATGGCATTATATATGTATATATATATATATACATACTATTTTAATATATGATATTACACATCATATAATATCTCAATCTACTATATCAATATATACTTATTGACATTATATATCAATCTAAAACAAATAGATAGAGTAAATACTTTGACCTTTTTTGAACCTACTTTGTGAACATCTTCGATTCTATCTCTGCAAACCAATGGACAGCCACATCCTGTGAAGCTCACCACATCATTTCCAAACATGGTATAGTTGCTAGTATCCAGCCTGGGGGTTCTGAAAGATCTCACATCTCTCTTGCTCCACAATTACAATTTCCAGAAACATTTCCATCTGACTTTCTGTGATCATGAAGCTTCTTGACTTAAGATGCTTCCTTGCTTGTCTTCCTATTTTACCCTGGTCACCAATGATATTTATAAGCTCTGTCTGAGTCGAAGACCTCAAAATAATACTATGTCATACATGTTCAGCAACCATCAAAATCCCTGCTTCAACTCCAGCTTACACATCTTATAAAATAAAAGGGCTTGAGTTCAGCAATCACCAGCAATTTCTGTTCATGTAACATCAGTTTTTTTCAAAGAAATTATGATATAGCTATGGTAGTTTGCTACAAAACCACATCTCTATTTTTTGAAAATTGAGCACAAATTTTCCTCACCTGAGTCTGCATGAAGCATGCCCTAGGTTCTGTGCAATCACATCATGAACACATGAACACATTCAGAGTTCTCCAGGGGGATTCTTCAATTAGACACAGTGAATTTGCAGAGACGGACGCTATATATGTCCTGAGCTATGTTCAGGATCAACCGGGCTGAATTTCTGAACAATTTTTATTTGGATAAACATTTTGCCACCTTGAAACATTTTTGAGTGATCCCAAACAGCATCAATAAAAACCTGCAATTACCATACAATGTTGCCTTTCCATACAAAGACCAGTGGCGACATACACTGAACTTTTAACGATTGGATTTGCCCTACACAAAACGTCGAAATCGCATGGTAACATATCACAAAAATAAAAGCTTACTTCTTCAATTCCGGCGGATGTTGCCTGCTCATCTTGAATATTCAAGTATCAAAAGATGGTTTGACAATATCAATGCAGGTTTTTACGGTGATATGAATACCTTGAAACAGGCAAAGTAATTTTGGTGTGGGATTACGCTACAGCGCCACTATCCGATGCCACCACCACCCAACGCCGCAAAACCGTACAAGGCTGCGCCGAAAACCATATGAAGTCAGTTTGATAGATCCCTGGTACAACGAAATTCAGTATGAAAATCTGCACCACTGAACTAAAAGTACACTAAAGGCGCGATACATACTAGATTTCAAGTTTATCCTAAAACTTTGGTAGCCGCTAACCGAAGGCCGCGTGGCGAAGGTGGCAAAATAGAATTTGCTTAACATTTAATCTTGTGCCCAGAACTTACGCAAGAAACTCTCCAGGAGTTGGACGCTACATTACACTGATAGCATGTGCCTGCTATAGGCAAACAATTTAGCATATTCCACAGGGAACTGACCGAAAAGTTCTAGAGCGCCCGGCTTCGAACATAGCATTTCTACTATAGATCCAGCACGTCATTGATCAAGCTTACACTGCAACTGCACATACCACGGAAATCGGTAAATTTACGACGTGCCGTGCACAAAAACTTTGACTTGGCACGCCGTGGGAGTTAGGCTTCTTTAAAAAAATGACCAACGAATCGGCTCGAGGCAATTCAAAGATGTTTTGATGCCTGGCTAATCGAAATTGGCCAGATAAAATTTCATTCACAGCTCTGTGAAAGGCAGGTCTACAACACATGAAACCTTCGGACTAGTAGATACCCCTTAGAGCGCTTGTGCTACCAATTTGATTCGGTGGGGCGCGTGAAATCGCCGTAGCGCCAAACGTTTTTAGAACTATGACGCATGTGCGTCATAACCGCCACAATCTCACCCTGAGACCACGCTGAAGTGTTCGAAGAGCTGTGTGAGTTGTACAAATAGCGCACAACAGCTCGTTATTAAATGTGCACTTGGATATTTTGCAATCCTTTTTCGTTTTTTAGCATGAACGGTGTCTGGTCACATTTCATAATGAAAAGCATAAATGAAAGTCGAATGGATGAGAGGATTTAAGTAAAGAACCCCAATACTGGAGCATTGCGCTGGGCGTGATTATTTCGTTCGCAGCATCGGAAAGCTTTGAAAGCTCGCTCATTGGCTGTACGGCTCAACTACTGACGTCATGATAGCTTGGACAAGTCTTTCGCATGCGTGGGGAAGTTTTGAAGTTATTATCCTGTCGGCTTTCGGCAGCCCTTTGACGTTTTCCTTCGTTGACGGGAAGCCGTTGGCGCCCTTCTTAAGCTGGCGTCGAGCATCTCAAGGGTCTCAGCAAACCCTGCGTGAAACAATACAAACTCGCTCATGATTTTCAATCACGTGCTGTTAAGTGTTATGTGCTTTCGTAAATCTTCGACTCATCACCATTTCGAGTACAATATTTCGCACAGAAATTGAAAATATCTGGTTGATAACCTGGCACTACCGGAACTTTTATTCTTAAATGTTTGGAATGAAACCCCGGGAAGGTATTCCAAGCCTCGGTGCACCAACACTCATCGTTTTAATGCGTGCCTTGTTCAGGCCGGTGGGAGTCGTATTAAACCGACGCTTTTGGTAGGAACTAACCTTGCGTGGAACTTCACGTGTAAGTACCTTGTATTTAGCACAGTCGGCATGGGCATAATCGCACATCTCGCTTCTCATAGGTCCAATGCCGATCAGGTGCAATTGCGACCACATTGCAACACGGACTACAAAGATAAGATAAGAATGCAGACATTGGAAGCATCTTGTCATCCATTCACGCAAGGGGCACAGCCAGGATTGGAGACGGAGGGGGATTTGGAATCAGGGAATTTTAGGATTCCAGCAACAATCACAGTCTTTTACGAAAAGATCGAGGCGAGATATTAGTACCACAGGGTTGGTTATCGCTCGTGCTATCGTCCTTGCCCGGTGTCTTTGTGTCTACGCAACGTTTCGGCCAGTTATTTCTCTGGTCGCGGGCAGGTGTTGTTGATTTCTGTGGATGACGCTTGGCTTCGAAGTATGTACGTGTCACAGTCTAAATGACCTGCATAATCATACAATGATATACATATTTTATACTATAGATTTTGTGTTGTTTAAAAAATCTTCAATCTTCATCATGTTCGCGTCGCAGCCCGACTTGTTTCCTTGTCAGTACTGGCATTCGAGCCAGGGTCTTCTAACGAGGTTTGTGGCGCGCGGCGTATCTATCCGCCGCAGGTCACATGCTGTTTTTTCCAAGGTGTCAGTATGATTTGTGTTCGTTATGTTTGTCCCAGGCGCTCATTCCGCACATGCGCGCCAGAACGATAAAAAGAGGGAGCCTTAAAAACGCTGGCCCCGTCGGAGGCAAAAAACCAGAGTACGGTACAGTCACAATCGCGGGCACAGTCTGCCGTCGGAGGGACACTGGGACGGACACGGCGTTGGGAGACCATATCGACTTGGCGCGCCGACGGCTGTGCGCTCGGTGCCTACACCTCCGCAAAATGAGAGCCCGGGGGAGGGATCGCCCAACCCTTTGGCGATTCACTGAGATATCCGTCCCTTTTTTCCTATTTTTAGGCAAGTAAGACGACGCGTTCTGGGGATTTTTCACATTACGTACTCGCACATTAATTCTGATCCGTTATGTGTCGTATACTTTTTTGCCCTTGCATTGTATCGTAATAATGAATATGCCTAATATACAAATATGTCCCTAGTGTTGTAATGTTGTTAAATCGCTTGTTAACTTTTGCCATGGTGCTCTGTGCGTTTAATGGAACAGTCTGTGGAAAGATATCAGACGGATGAATAATGTGCGGCTTGAATTTTGTGTCATGAGACAGGTAGAATCGTAGTCAGGTTCATGTTTTGACGTTAATACCTCTATCTCGCATAGTTCATATATTGCGTACAGCTTGGGGCGACTTTGAACCTTCCATGAGTTCAGTCGGATTTTTGTCACGAAGAGCTGCGTCACAGATGCTTGACCATAACTTCTCGTGGTTAGCGATGGAGATAGGCCAACACGTCACATAGCTTAGGGCTCCTCGCAGTTAGCGACTGGGTGTTGTGAGACGATGAGAATTACTGCAGGACGACGGGTGCTGTCGGCACAGTCGCTGGCGATAGAGACTGGGCTATCTGCTGATGCCGCGGCGAGGCTCACATCAGGTGGCTGCTAGTTACTGGGGACAATGTCGAGGTATGCGTGGTGTATGACTGAAATGGATTCGTCCAAGCGATCATGACATCAATGGCTGAGTCCTACAGCCAATGAGAGAGCTCTTATAGCTCCCTAATACTGGAAAAAGTAATGACGCTTGCTTAGCGCTGAGGCCCGTGGCCGCGACACGTACCACGAGAAAAGCAGGAGGGCTCTAAACGCTTCGCCGTCCAAGACACAATAACGCGTACGGTTTTGAAGCCATTTGGGATTGGGGTACCCGAAGCACCTGTGCAGTCTGAAACATCCCTGCAATGCTGCCCACGAGCGCCTCAGGACGAGCCCTGTCGGGGACTGTTTCAATGCCCACCCGAAGGATCAGTGTCCGGGCAGAGACAAGATCCCTTCACCGCACGGGACCCCAGCGGTCCAGCACGCACTGCACCAACGCGGCCTCGCATCACCTTCATCAGGTCACCAGCGCGCCCACTCAACGCTGCCATCACACCGACGTCGTCATCACTGGGACTTTGCGATGCACTCTGCCGCTGAGGCTATGTGGCGTCGCCTGCCTCTCATCCTGGCAGGAAGGCCGGGCTCCGCTGGGAATCCAGCCCCGCCCTAGCCATGACAACAAACTGCCTCACATTAGTGAGTGCGGTCCGATTGGCTCCCGCAAGCTCTCAGACACCAGCATTGCCATAGGGGCCGGCACAGCTTCTGCGAAGTCTCCGCGCGGTCCAAACGTTACCATCGAAGGGCCTAGGAGGTACACGGCACGGCTCCACAGGCTCTCGGAGGCGTGCGTCACACGGCTGGGGACGTTGACACGACCTTCGCCACGCGATGACGCCAAGGTCATTGCGACTCAAGGCGGCTTCTACTGGAGCCAGCTACAGCTGCAATTCGTGTGACTGATCAGTAATCGCAATATGGACCAGCTTCGGCGTTCACAGGCAGGGATCAGTAACATAACGCTGATGACAATCTGTGAAGTTATATATACTGAAATTGGACCTGGAGTACATGTGTGTGGGGGGGAGGGGGGGGTCGGTGGTGGATGCGTGCGCTCACAGCCGCCCGGCTGTCGCTGTCACGCCTCCACACAAGACGAATTTATCATGAGGAGCCCATTGGCCAGTATTCGAACCAGACGATGTTAGCGCACTACTCGGCACGTTATGACCCCGGTACACCCGACGTCACACACACGTGTGAGCCATAGGCTAGGATGAAGCGGGTGACCGGGTATTGGCGGGATGGTAAGTCCGGTCGGGTACATGAACGGCTGTCTCCCCGTATGGTGTGCCCTTAACCACGTTATTCCACCTGCACCACATGGTTGGTAATAACATTTAAACCAAACAAAACGGTGCATTGCAAAAAATAAACGCCCTGAATTCCACGGTACGCTGAAATTGGCCGGATCCCACGCAATCACGCACTAATCCACACAGACTTCATACATTCAGCGCCCCACCACCACACACACACCTCAAGCATACGCATCCGCTGGCGCCCACGTCACCCCATTCATTCTTGGCTGGCGCGTGGGTGGCAGCCCCCCGCATCAACCAGCGCCTTGACAGTATAGTTGACACGTTCGCAGAGCGCTCCTTCGGATAGATTAAATGCAATTCAAACACTTCAAAACTCAGTGCAACCACGTCCATGCCCTGTTCAAAACATATCAGGTCGATTTTTAGCTCAGCACCGACACGGCCAATGGCCAGCATCCGGTGCAGCAAAGTTGGACGACGACTTGTCTTCTCGTCTGATTTCTAGGGTGACGGCTGCCTGTTTGGATGACGCTCCCTCGCGTCTCGTCTACGATGCCCCTCCCCCCCCCCCCCCCCTCTTCCTTCGACCACGCCCGTCGCTCGCAGCTTCCTCCTGCTGCACAAATCCCTTAGGCAGCGCCCGCTCCAGAACGGAGACGTCGCCCCGGTGCTTTTGCGCCTTCGCCTCCCACCTGCCG